AATCAATGGCAAATTTAGGATGACTTGTCTTCAAAAATAAGTTCATGACACGTATCTGTACGGCCACCGGGTGCGCTGTAGAAACTTCATCTCTCTTCGTTTTGTTGGAAAAATGTGGACATTATTGGACTTGTGTCTAGTCGAATCCTTCGGCAAGTCTCAGCTCCGAGCCTCTCCTTGGCCTGAAAATGTAACAATGGAAAATGGATTATAAGATGAAGAACATATTATGGGATCCCTCTCTCTTACATACCTTTCATTTTTAGTTTCTTTTGCCTAATCCTGCTTTTTTAAGTCGTTTTGAAAGAGCCCATTACCCTCTCCTAATAATCATATTTCTTTAAAGAATGTCGTTGGTGGTAATACTTCCGACTCTTCTGCTGTGAGCGCCAATAACAAGCAAGCACTCCGAAGGCACAGCTTGCAAGAGCGATTGCCAATGCAGCCCCGACTGGCACCGCGACCGCATTTGTTGAAGCTGCTAACTCTTCAGGAACCCCGTCGACTCCAACGTTCTCGCTGTTGGTTTTGTACATAGATGCAAGCATTTTGCCATAATAGTTGGTTAAGAATTTATGTACTTCATTCTCATCCCATTCGACCGGCTTGCTGCTGCGAGAGCGGTAGCAGGAGGAACAGAGTTGTACTGGAGGCCAGGTCATCTTCGGAAACTTTGGATCTGCGGTTCCTACAGATTCTTCCTCTTTTAATAATCTTTCATTGACTTTGTTGTGTGCTCTCCACAACCATAGGGCAAAGTCACGAGCTTTGTTGAAAGGAGTAGACACGCTGAAAACAATACCTTCAGTCAGAATGTCAGATGATAAAGGTATATAGAGAATGAAATCAAATATGTAGTCCAAACTTACCTCGAACACAATTCGTAAAAGTGCTGGCGACATTCCTCGCAAACAAAGAAGTTGTGGACAAAATCGCAAATAGTTGTGAATGCAAACTGGCTTTCTCCGTCCTCGATTCTCACAGAAAGAGAATGCAGTAGAACCCATAATCCACAACTGCATATAGAGATGCAAATAGTTAGAGAACTGATGAAAAAGAATTCACCAATCATTGCCATGGCCTGCCTGCAGCAAGCGTCTGTTCATTCTTTATGTCTCAATTATATTCTTCATATGTACAAATGTAATTTATTTCATATTTGACTTGAGAGACAATGGGAGGCAACTATCTAATAATTAACTAGAACACTAATAGATTCAGCAATCATACTGTGTTTGGATCGCTGAAATTATATTATCATTAACTTTGTTTTTTTTCAGGAAGCATAATGGAGAAATAATATCAACAGTAATATTATGAGATTTTGCTAGAAGTTCCAATTGGATTCTCCTTTACGAAAAATATGTTGCTATGAAGATGTAACATTGAGCTTACACCAGAGGACATTATCAGTTGAGTTCTGAAGAGTATGTTAGTGTTTCAAACCAAATTTAGTTACATGAACGAGTGTGCAAACGAACTTCTAAAGACAACAAAACCTTTCCACACATTTGGAAAGAACAATTGGGTACATGTGTCACAAAAAACACAAAGATAGAACTTACCTAAATCCCCTAGTATCATTCCTGCTACCACGGCAGAAAATCTGCAAACAGGGCATTCAATGACTGTCATTTTATCGTAATATATTGAAAAACCACTTTACATGAACAAAAATAATCTCGATCAATTTCATAGGAGGTCATCTGGCCCTCTGGCCTCCAGGCCTCTAATATAAATAGATAAATATAGATTCTAAGGCTTCACTATCATCAATAAAAATAATTATTCGTGTCTCTTGCGTTCAATAGAAAATGAAACAACGGTTCATATCGATATACAGACAATACCAAACAGATATACAGACAATACCAAACAGTGGGTTGAAAGATATCTCAAGCAAAAGTCATAATTCCAGAAATAGTTAGGTTAAACTATATCGTTTGTGTACCCACCCAATATCCACGAGGTACATCTTTTCCACATATCTGAAAGTTCTTCACTGCACCTTTTTCACTAGCAACCTCTTGTTTCATATCTGAAGGGCTCAAGTCATCGAAGTTTACAAGTATCTCTGCACTACCTTTTCGACACCTAAGAGAAGTAACAGTTCAGTAATAATAGAGGAAAATATCTCTAAAGCGAAGATAAGGGCAAGGTAAAGAGTGCTTTTACACCTCACAGATGGATGATGAACTACCAGAAGTTGAAGAAATTTTATAAGGGATGCTCGAGTTTCAGACTTGATCATCTGAAAGCATGCATGTAACAGTTATTGATCTATAATTACTTGAAATATATACATAATATAATAACTAATTACCTTGTGTTCCAAGATAATATCAAAGGCAGTGGATGTTGCCTCCTCAACATCATAGACCGCTCGAGCAATCTTTCATCATTAAATGCATTTCAATTGTCAACAACATCACGGGTAAAGGAAAATTATTTCATTTGTAATATAAGCAATCATGATATCTGAACCAACCTGTCCAGGATCTGAGATATTGGATAACACATGCTCATTTTCAAATTTTTGGTCATCCAAGCCGAATGAGCTGGAAATCAGTTAACTGCTTATTGTTTGTTTCAGCTAAGTAAAACTTGATAGTGCAAATCAAGAAATGATTGGAAGTACCTCCTACCTGCCCATTTGCTTGTTCATCCAATTTAGTAACTTTTCAGCAGTTCGTCCATTATCAATGTTGCGTATTTCACTCTTCTCTTGCTTAGGATTCCAACCACCGGACACAAATTTGGAAGGAGGACCCCAAAAGAGCATAGGATAGTGACCCACCGAAAATTTATCACAGAGATTGGTATTCATCTGTGCTGGCAGACAAGCAAATGAAAAGAACTATTCACCAAGATGCCATAAGGTTTACATACTCAAAGTGTGAACAAGGAGACACAGCACATATGTATGCTAAAGCCAGAACTATCTATCTTCTTTGACCTCATTTAGCCATGGGTAAGTTGCCCAGACTGCTAAAATTGTCAAAATAATTAGATACAAGAAAATCAACCAAAATAATGATAACTTCACACAAGATTCACGAAAGTGTAGCCAAAACTTCGAATGAAGGATAATCTGATACCATCTATAAAGATCTCAAATTCATGCATGATCAAGAAAGAAGTAATATTGATCATTGACTCTGAGGATCACAAGATGGATATCGTACACTGACTCATATTGGTATTGGTTGTACACAAAATGAGATTGCATTTTGTATATCACCTGATATTCAAAGAATATTAAAAAATTTTGGATTACTTTATATGATAAGATTAAATTAAGAATTTAACAGGTATTTATAATTTATGTACTCATTAAGAAATTAAAAAAATCATGTCATGAATGTGATTTGATTAAGCATACAAAGAAGACGGGTGATGGTGAACCCCTAACAGCTTCAAGTGTCCTTTGCAAGCTACACCAATCGAAAAAGGTGAAGTTGCAATAAACCATCTTAATATACTAATCATCAAATCACATGTTATAGAATTATACCATCACATGCATGATACTCCCAGGCTTCAATACTATTCCTCACAGAGAATAAACTACTATGAAATATAAAAGAGAATCAAAATCTAACTGAAAGTTTGACTCATCTACTAATTCAATGTTGCTGGGCCAGTTTATGTGGCATGGTGCAGTCCAGAGATACTACCATTTTACTTCAGGAAACTTGTTTTCCTTGGTGGTTGAAAGGGAAGGCTAAGACTAAGGTGATTTAGAAGAATGCCTCAAGATGTCTTATTTGGCCTTAGTGGTTACCTGGTAGCCTGGTAGGAAAGAAACAATAGGATTCGTTGTTATAGGTACATGGATTTGTGTTTCTTGTAACTTTCTGCAGTATACAGCTTCTAGCACAATGGTTCTCCACAAGTTCTTTTGCCATCACTCAATCTTACCAATTAACTTGGATTACAGGTTGATAGAGGAGATGTTTTATCACCATTTTACTTCCTGGTTAATCCTATGTACTCCTTTTGGAAGTTAGTGGAAGGTCTGGTGTGGTTTCTTAGCCGTAAAAAAAAAAAAAAAAAAAGTTGAAAAAATAATCTAATGGAGAAAGAAAGAACCACTTTGTTTGATATTTCAATCAAAAGAACTCTCAAAAAGAGCAAATCAAATGTCAACAAAAACCTAATCCAAAAAGAGAATTCAGAGAAAACGGGGCTTCATGTAATAAGATAATAAGGAATATACAAATTATAGAAAAAGATAATAAGAATTAATATCTAATGGAAGACACAAATGAATTATCGTGAATTATAATTGACGAATATCTCATACAACAAGAATTATTTGGTTACAGAGGGGGGAGAATGCATATACCATGAAAAAGAGGGTAAAGATACAACTCAAATAAGCAATTTTTAATATTATTTATCACAAATATATTACATTATTATAGATAGAAGAAACATGTAAAAGGTGCAAACCCATAATACCTCACAGAAAAAGTGAAGCATCACAAGCTAGATAAAAATGAAAATTTTAAAAATCAAAGAGGCAAGTGGAGAAGACTTCAAAGCTCCCTGAGAGTTATGTAATCAATAGTGCAGAATCACTATACCTTCAATGCGCAGTCTACTCTTGTCATTAATACTTTTCCTGGGTGCACAGCATTAGGTCCATTGAAAAGCCTAGCAACTTTCTCATAATGGGGCTACAGATTGATGTTCAACCAAAAAGCAAAATTAGAGAACTCGTAGCTGTGGCTGATTAACATATATTTCAGCATATGATACCTTATAGTTTCTGCAAGCAGGGCACCTGTAAGAGCAACATGTAGATAATATCACAAGTCTATTTGAACAGGAGCATTGAGATTATATTAAAGAATATATCACATGTGTAATTGAAGATTCTAAATTGTCATTTGGATTCTCTGGAGAGAGAAAAAAAAAAAGAAGAAGAAGAAAAAAGGTATATCTCACAAGTCATATGACACGGGTCAAATAGTTCATTGGATTACTTATTTCTAACATATCATGGATACTCGACTCAAGTGATAAGCCAGGTCCTGTAGAAGTTAACGGGCTTTCTCTGATAATCCACAATCCCGGAAACGCACGTCGAATAAAGTTCGTACTTGGCAACTTCCGTTACTTTAAAAAGCAACAGATTTCACTAAGCACGAACTAAAAAACCAGCCACCTTGCACAGCCCATTGTCATTTGATTATCCTAGTTTTGCACGGCTAAACGATCATACATGGACCAAGAATTTGTATCCCAAATGACAAGTACATATACATCCTAAAACGATATTCGAATATCCCTAGCTTGCATGTATGAGCCACAACAAGCATAAAGTTTCAACATCGATTTTCATTACAAAGTAAACCGCCGAAAAAATTCTAATAAACAAACATGCGATAGAAGAAACAGAATTCCTCCAAGCTGAAGGCACTAACCAGTGCGCGAAGAATTCAACAACCGCGAAAGTAGCAGGAGTATCCTTGAGAACCGCATCGAAACTGGTGGCGTTCAAATCAACGGCGTAATCCTGAGCATCCCCGGCATTGTCAGCAACAACTCTAAGAATCGAGCGCGATCCCGACGAAGCTCCCAACCGCAAAGCACTCAGACATAGAATCAAAACCAGAAGCGTCCGAGACATTGAAATGAACCACCAGTTGCGCGAAACAGATCAAACAAAGCTAGAATCCTGAGAGGATCGAACAAAAGCAAAGAAAATGATACGATTGAATTGATTCAGCGGAGAAATGGTGGAGAACGGTGGATGATTTGGAAAGGGAGAGATCTGAGAATGGAGGAAGAATTTGCAGTTGCCGGAGGCGATGTAGGGCATGTGAGTCTCTGTCTGACCTCCGACTGTCGGGAATGGTTCGGAGGCGAGTAGAATGCACTCGCGGGGGAACAGGTGGGCTTTACGTCCGATCTGAGCGTAGGGTCATGTTATCCGCGCCATTTTGCTTACCACGGACGGCGCGTAGTTTATGGGACAGGTCCGGCCGGTCCGGTCCGATTCAATTTTTTGCAGTTACAATTTTCTTTCCCTTTCTTATTTGTTGATTTATTATTTCTTCCGTAAGAAAAATGTTGGTTTGTTTGTTTCTTTTTTCTTTTTCTTTTTTTTTCTTTTATATTTGTGTAGTTTGTCTTTGATTCATTTTGTTTGATATACCCTAAAGAAGTCTTGTTTTAGTCCCTATCATTTCGATTTTTATTTATTTTATTTTAAAAATTTATGATTTCAATCACCATTTAAATATAGATACTAAAATTCGATGTTATAAAAGTGTGTAGATTAAATTAAATAAAAGTTTAAAGTATATGGATTAAAATTAACATTTTTATTAAATAAAATTTTTTAATATTTGGTAGTGTGATAATTAAGTTAATAGGTAATAGGGATGTTTTAAACATAAAATTAAAAGTTAACGATCTACCGTAGAACATTTGTAAGGCTATATACTAAACATGCAATCCCAAAAGTTAATGGACTCTTTAGAATCATTTATTACAATTGAACTTAAAAAAAAAAAAATCGGATTCTATAGAAACTTTTTAAAATTAAATTACAATAATTTATTTTACCTATGAAAGATGGTACATCAAACTTGTAATTTTTACGTGGAGTGGGAGGTAGAACTTGTAATTTATGTCAATTACAACTTAATGTCGCTAATTATCGTTAAGTTAGGTTCGTTTTGACATTAAACTTGTAATTTATCCAACAACAAAAAAAAAAGTTACTATATATAATTTGTATAATCAACTTAATTCGATAAAAATAATCTGTATATATACCATTTTATTTGTTGTCATATTATACATGATATTTCACACTTGTCTTTTTTTTTTTTTGTTCTTTTTCAATATTTACCGATCTGATTAATTTTTTTTTCTCAATACATTGTTTCAATAAATATCGTTATATTATATTTATTATTATTATATATATTTTTAATAATATTTATTATTATTATTATTATTATTATTATTATTATTATATTTTAAAATGATTGTTTCATGGTGAGAATTTATGATCTTTTAATATAAATATTTACTTTCTAACAAAACAAATATTTACATTAATGATAATATTTTAATAGATAATTAAATTAATATATTAATTAATCAACACACTTATTACTTAACTTTCCGACGATTATTCTTTAACATTTTAAGCGTATATTATATATTTTTTTTGGGGTTTATGGTCTTGGATGGAAGGTTTAGGAATTTATTTCTTTATAAAAATATTGTCTCCGTCGGTCTAGGTTTTATAATATATATATATATATATATATATTTATTTGTCATCAAGGTTTTATGATTTAAGATTTATGGTTTTATTTATTTATTAAAAATATATGTTTTGTTGTTTCATATTCGATTGTCATATTTGTTTTTGAAAACTGATTTAAAACAACATATTTTGAATACTTTAAATTTTGAACCTGATACTTTAAAATGCATTATTATATTAAAGAAATATAATAACTTTCATAAATATATTATTTAGATTATAAATTCATAAAATTTTTGTTAAAATTAAAACATTTAAAATATAATATATTATGAATTATATAATATTATAAAATAATAATTATACAACATTTGTAAAAAATATTATTTCAAATTTAACCAAATATTTAATTGCACTAGTTTATAAATATATTACCAAACATTGAATAATTTTTTAAATTAACATTCCATTTTCAAATTTAACACCGCACACATACAATACATCCTTATTTTTAATCCCATATTTTAAAATTGTGTTGTTATCCATTATTTTTATTTGCAAATTTTTCACGATCCACGTAAAAAAATTGGGCTGGGCTTTTTCATTTAGTGGCCCATCGTTCCAAATAAGCCGAAAACGCGTCGTTCACGAATCACGACCCCGCAACCACCAGGCACCAATACAATATTCGAAATTTTTTCGGGGAAAAAGAATATCCGAATATAGGGCTCGTATTGAAAGAAACCATTTTCGAGATTTTGTATTACCTTCCCAATTCCATTACAATAATCAAATTCCGATATAATCCAGTCGTTTTCGCAGCGTATTTATCCTCGCCAGAGCGTTGTTGGTTACAAGGTACTCTCGATTCGTGTTATTTACTTTACATTTCGTTCAATTAGTCGTTTGGAGCTTTATTTTTGTTTGTTCGGTGGTGTATTGCTTTTGTTGAAACTCACCGCATCGTCTTCCCCTTGTTGATTTATTGGGAAATTTCTTCTTCAATCGAGGTGCGTGGAGATGTCAATTAGGTTGTTGTGTTTTGTTTGCATCCGGATTCAAGAAAGTTGAATGGGCATTTGAGATACTTGTTCTGGGGACCTTGTCGAGTTTTATGCGGTGATTTAAAATTTAGTTGTCTTGATTTTTGTCCAGATTTAATGCCCTGTCTGGTATCTTTGAGGGATTTCAAAATCATGACAGATATCAAATGAATTCCGCTGCTCGGCACTGCATTACCTTGACGGTAGTTTTTATGTAAAAAAATTTCAGTATCAAAATGGTCGATTTCAAAATAAATTATAAATTTAACCTTATCATATTTTAATTTATAAATTATAAATTTATATTAAAAGTCCAGATCATATTTATAGCAAACATCCAAAATTTAATTTATTTAATTTCAGGAATTTAATCACGTAAACTTTCTTGATCTCGAACAGAGGGTAAGAGTTGAATTCGTTAGTTTTTAAGAACAATGTGCGAAGCTAGGGTGAATTGCTGGCCCGAGCGAAATGAGTAATTAGAGGAAAGTGGCTTCTCTGCGTGTACGTGCAGCATTTTAATTTTAGGGACTTTCTAAAAGAGCTTGGGGTTACTTTGATAATTTGATTATTATGAAGCCATTTTCTCAATTTGTATTTTCTGTTCTTGTCATTTGCTCCAAGTGCTGTTTCATTTTATTGCTTTTAGTTGCTGATTATTTACATATCACTACTAGTTTTGGTTTTATATCGTTAGAATTTCAAACGGGATTTAATATTTGTATGCTACCATGCCATTATCTTACTTCTTGACAAGACGATTCTTATCTCATTTAAAGCGCATTACATTTTACCAGTCTTCACATTGGTTGATGACTCTCATCATAGATACTTTATCATCTCACTATTGTTACAGGAAGACCCAAAATTATATATACTGTAGTTTTGGTACTTACATATAAACACCCTGTTATATGCAATCACAAAGATCATTGGCACAATTTGAGGCGACCTTGCACCAAACTACTCAGCAGTGAGCACCAAAGTTGAGATATTTGTCTGAAAGTTACACAATGAAGTTCCTAGAATACACCCCGTTTGAAAGGTACGTCAAGTTAAATCAAACCATGGTTTATTTCATTTCTGATATTTTCTAAGGCACCTTTTTTTTTAATAATTAATTTGAATGTTGCATGGTTTTTGTCATAGGTTGAATGATTTCTTGAGTCATTTGAATCTTGGAGAGCGTATCATCAAGGGATCCCTAGAAGCTTATTCTTGTAAGAATATATGTGCTTGTGTTGAATTGTAAATCTTAGTTCTTCTGGTAAATATATTTCAGATTTCTTGAAATGTAAATTTCCATTATTTTTTTATGTTCCTCTAGGTAAACATACAGGAATAGATAAGAAACTATCTTTAAGCTTGGAGAACGAGGTAAGAATGTTTCAATCTATTTATGACATGTTTGCATATTTCTGACTTTTTGTCGTATGTCATTAAGAAACTCTTGAAACATTTTTTGGTAGTTTGTTCATTATTTCCATTAACAAATCTATTTTTAGAATCATGCTAATAATTGACAACCTTTCTGTCAATCTTAAAATTTTGCTGGTATTAACTGCACAAAAGAAGACAACCTACCTACAAAAAACCAGCCACAAAAAGGCCATCCAATTGTTAATAATAATAGAAAGACCATAATTACAAAAGTCTTTGTATCTAGTACACCACCAAGAAGCCAAGCAAAAACTCCTTGGTTTCGTTCCTTCCATGTTGTCCATAATACGGCCTTCACTGCACAACACCATAAAGCCTTAGCTTCCAGTATCCAATCGTCTGCCCTCTTAAGAAATAGCAAGCTGGTTTCTTGATGTTTGTCTATCAAGTATCAATATATCGGCTTCGTTTTTCTTCAGATTCTTGACTATCTTGGGAACTCATCTGATGCTGACTCGTCTTCACCGGATGAATTTTTATTGAGCAGATCGAGGTGATGAATGTCAACTCTGATATGATGTCCTAACTCCTAGGTGGTTATTGTATTACATGGTTATTTGACAAGTTTACATTCATGGCAGTCGAAAGACACTGATATATCTGGTTCTTACTCTCAATCACGTGTACCCGGATTATGACTTCAGGTATCTGCTATAATTATTGTGCACTATTTCATCCATGCCATTATCAATTTTAAAAGAACTATGACGGAGGATTATGGGTAATGCTACTGTCAGCTTATTTGGCGACATGGCAACCCACTTTATATTCCTCCCTTTTTAAAAAATTGAATTGGGAGTGTTGTCAAAAGGTTTGACAGACAGTTCAGTAAACTGTTGCTCTAGGAGCTGAGAGTTCAAGTCTCTCCATTTCCCGAAGTCTAATACTCTCAGTTAGTGCGTTGGTGCTGATTCTTTTGCATTATCTTTATTATACTGAAGCTTTTATGTAGTTTCATTGTGCTTCCATACTATGATATTTGCCTACATCTCTGTTGTATGCTAGTGCAATGAAAGCTCACCAGTTCTTCACAGAGGAGACCTGGGATAGTTTTAAGCAGATCTTTGACGCCTTTATGTTGGAAGCATCTAAGGTAAAATTTTTAGTCATATATGTTTGTGCTTACTCATGTGATGAGATGTCCATGTGGTGTGGAGATGTAATTATCTAACTACCGGACTACCCAAATATCAAATTTCTAGCATGTTTTTAGTGTTATCGAAGATTGTTGTTGTGTAATTAGCTTTTCTTTCCAATTCTCCATTTTCTCGAAGGTGGAGCTGAGTGCAATTTACTTGTGTTTCTATTAGTTCGGTTTCAAAAATTGGCAGGGCAGCCATGTATGTTCCGCATTTTACCATCGTATCCCTCTGGATTTGGATCAATTTATGTCTCTACTAATTTTTAGATTTCTATATCATAATATTTAACTATATGTCAGACTCCCAGTTCTCCAAAATATATATATATATATATATATATAACAATATGCCCTGATGAAGAACTCATTTGGAAAAATTTCCCGTTGATACATTTTTAACTCCTTGGATGGTTGATTGCAGGAATGGATTGAGAATAATGAGGGTGGTTCCTTGCTAGAGATGACATATAAGGCGCTTGATGAGGTATGTGTGGGTTTTTTTTTTAAGTAGCGGTACAGGTTTGTGTGTTTTAAAATTTTAAATGGATATAGGTTCCAGATGGGGTGATATTGGGCGTATTAGTGACACCTCACCATGCACATGCAGGTTGTAAAACTAGCAGAGTGTGAAATTTACAGTTACAACCCAAATTCTGATGCGGATCCCTCTATAGAGAGAGGAGCAATGTATGTGTTTTTTATCTATTTATTGTCTAAGATGATAGTTCAACATCTAGAATTGTAACCTTGGTATATTTGCGTGCTTCATCAGATGGTCCTTCAATTTCTTCTTCTATAATCGAAAGTTAAAGCGTGTTGTTAGCTTCCGCTTCTGGTGTTTAAGGTGCGTTAAGTTGCTTGCTCCAAGGCTTTCAACAAATCAACACCTATTATATTTATCATCACCTTGTGCTGTGGCAGTAATTTGGTAGCTGAGGGGTTCCATTTGGACGGGATAGGCTACGAGGAAGATGGAGATATCTTCGACAACATGGATATCTGAGACACATTACTGTAAGCATTTTGTGCATAAATGAAGACTTCTTTTATGCTAATTCTCGATTCCGTAAACTGAATCCATATGGTTTTGGTGTTGGGTCCATGCTTTCACTTGAAGCGTTATCATATGGTGGAATGACTTTTATTCTTGTATATAGGAATAAATTGTACAATCTACCCCTTAGATGTATTAACCTTAGAGAACCTGTAGAAGAGAACTATGAGCTGTGGTAGTATATTGTATAAGCAAAAATATGAATACAGTACGCGTTACTATCAGATCCATGATTCCTGTTGTTCCATACTTGTTTTTTATATGAAATTAAAGTACCTTATTTGTTCTTCACTTTTCTGAACCACATTGCTTTGTACAAAATATTCCATTTGTGGACCATTTTGTCATATAGATATATTCATGGATATGTAGCACTTTTTACCAAACCACAATATCGAATTAAAATGGTGTGCATTCTGTACTTGTTTGTTGTGTTGTGCCCGAAAATCTTGTAAACTTGGGAAAAAAGTGAAATATTGGTCTATAAAATAATATTTCTCCCAGCAATTGTTATCTCTCACTGCTTTTAATTATTTGGACTTTTGTACTTTCTCTTTTCAAATTTCCTATTTTATAAGCAATGATAAGATTCTCCCTTCCCTTGCATCTGTTTTTGACACATGCCCTTTCTCAATCTCCCTCTCTCAACCCATTTTCTATTATATTTTGAGTTGTAAATTGGAGTTCTATACAAATTATAACTCGGGTGTATTTATTTTTAGTTTTCTGTTTTTAATAATTATGCTCTATATATATATACGTCTTTTTTTGTTTTCAAAATTTAGCCTATATTTAGAAAATGTTGATAAAAATTTTAACAAAACAAAAGAACACATAGGTTGGGAAACAAGACCCTAAATTTCTAATTTGATCGCACATAGTATTGATCCTTGATTTGCTTAGGCTTAAATTTCTGATTTGATAGCATAGCTTTTATTTTTTATTTTTTAACTAGGGCATGAAAGCTACAATTAAAATAACTTTGATTACACTATTTTTTTTTTTTTTAAGAATATAAAGCACAAACAATTTGAAGAGTGAAAAAGTTTTCTTGTCTATTAAGGTATCAAAGTCATAAAATTTAAAAAAGAATAATGAAATGAAGCTGTAAATAGTGTCATATGATTCATGCTTGATTTGCTGTGTTACATTACATTATGGAATGGAACCAAATAAAGTTGAAAAACATAAAACCAAAACAAAGGGTTTGGAAATATAGAGTGAAGCACGTCCATGTGCCTAAGCAAATGGCAATGGCAATCTTGTCCATGAGCTATTGGCTGATCCATCACTTAATATTTAAACAAAACCCCAAAAAAGTGCCACTTGTTTAGCGAAATTGGGAAACCCCCCTATTATTTTTTTAATACTTTTATATGACAATCATATCCTTAATTTTGCCCCACTAATTATCTTTTCAACATTCAATTATGGAAAGAAGATATACATCCAAATTAGCTGCCAGCTTTTGTGGATTGGAAACTTTTAAAACTTTACTAGTGTTTTTGTAACCTTCTCATTAAGATGAGCTCTAGGATGTGAAACGCTGAATTAGGATTATGGTGTGATAATTCACATGTGGAGTAATTCGACCGACGATAATTGTGTTAAGGACAACAGTACCTCAAGTTTCCTCGCAATTGTATGATATTGTCTGTTTTCGACATAACCCCTCACAACTTTGATTACATCATTTGAGGCTCACTACATCTAGATTTAGACTTTGCTCTTTTGGTTTCAAACAAAAGATCTCGTACCTATGGAAATAATTGTCACCTCTTATATATCATGAATCACTCCCTTTCTAACAAGTGGTGGTGGGGATTCGAACTTATAACCTCTTGATTAGAGAAATGTGTCAATTACTGCTAAGTTGAACTTATGTTGGCAATTTTTAAACTTTTTATATAGATCGGTGAAATTTTCAATTCTAAGTAGATGACTACAAATCATGGAATAGTTTGTAGTTGGTCATTAGGCTTTTGAGATTCTAATTATTTAGACTCATAAACTTTGAATGTTTTGTTCGTCTATTTAGTTCAAGTACATTATTATTATATTAAACATGCATGTTAACGACCTTTCAAGTTATGCCTAATAAGTTCTTAGCTTAAAAATACTTAAAATATGCTTGTCACGTAATCTTTAAATAAATACATTTACCATGACACGAAAACATGAAAATTAATTGAGTTTTACAAAATTAAATTTTAATTCAATAATTTTTTCTTAATGAAATGAAAATTAGATTCACTTAGTCGAAAAAATATGTAGCCATAAAATATGACTTATCTATAAACTTAAAAATTAGTGTTAAAACAACTATATCTAAGTTCTAATTAGTATATATTTGTTTATATCTCAATCTGAGAAGTTATGACTTTGATTCCAAACACACATGTTATATTAAAATAATAATATAGTGAGGCTAAATTCGTAATTTGACGTACTTCTCTTTGATGACCAGCGGCTGATCATTATCGTCACAGTAGCCAAGATTATAAATAGCACGCTTTTTGCTGAATCAAATCAACTTCCAAACACACACACCATGGTGCACACGGCTTCTTCTGCTCCTCTCTGCTCCTTCCATTTCCGCAGTCCGTCTTCTTGGCGGCGAAGGCCAGCGGCGGACCACCGCAGAGCGCCGAGATGCCACAGCGGCGTCAGCGACGATGAAGGTCTCAGGCCTGTGACTGTGTGTAATATCGATCGGCGATCTCTTTATAGTTCATTAATGCATAATGTTCTGTTTTGTGCGTTCTGCAGAAAACCAGAAGGACATCGTGGAGGCGAACTTGACGGTGTTGAGAGAGAGAATGGAGGATTTGAGGAAGAAGGAGCGGCGGATTCCGGCGAGTGGCGGAAGAATCGAATTCGATAATTGCTGGAGCTACATGTCGAGGAGCGATGCGAAATTGGATCGCGATTGTGAGCGGAAGATGGTGAAGAATTTTGCCCTAATTTCAGAGTGCTTGGAGGTGATTTCTATGGCTGGTGGTGCAGTTGGACTCGTTCTTGTTGGTGGATCTTTAGGCATCTGTTTGGTTTCTCTCCTGATTCGTCATCTAAGTAATTGATTTGAAGTAACAAGTAAGTAAACTTAGAAAAAAATTTGGTAGTGATTTTCAAAAACTTAAAAAAAGTTGATGAATCCAAATTCCAAAGTTCCGTGGTCTGAATTTCGGTGAGGACGTATTTTTATCCGCTGAAAATTTCAAATATTATAGAAATAGAGACCAGTGAAAATACGCGTCAATTGAAAATGTGTAGGCAAAATAAATAAATCGAAGAAAAAACTTGAAAAACTTAATTAAGTTAATCTTGATAAGTCTACGGTAGATTTTGAGTTTTGCAATAAAAATAACAAATCGCGTTCAAATTGTGGATTTATGTACCATGGTTTGTAATAATAACAATATATTTTGAACTTGATAGTATTATGATGTTATTAATTTTTTTAAAACAATTATAATGTTATTAATTAAAGGCATTTGGTATATGATATTTAATTTTAATTAGGGTAGAAATTCAAATATATGACTTCTAGTTTTAGAATAGATGCATGATGCAATAACTAGTTATTTTATATGAAATTAGAGTTTGCTCTATGGATCGATATTTGAGGATGTTTCTTACTTTTATTAGTTGAACTTGGTTGAACCATGCTCCCGAGCTAGTTTAATAACTCTTTCTCCTTTTAACTTTTTGTTTTTAGAAAACAAGTTCTTTTTTTAACAATATTTTTAGTATATTTTTAAAATTGTAACTATATTAAAAGTAATAGTTATCAACCAAATAATTAAAAATAGAATTGTTATTTTATTTTATTTGTTTGAATAATGAGTTCTGAACTTAATCTATAATATATTAAAAAGAGGTTAAGCAGGGAATTTTTTATTTTTCCTTTTGCCACACATTGTCGTGTTAATAATTTTATTTGAATATATTAAGAATTAATTTAGATTTAATTCATTGAGTGCAATTTTCAAAATAATTTAGAGAAAGCTAGGTAAGAGATTTTATGGATGTTTTATTTTAATGAGTATTTATCTTTTTTTTTTTAATTTTATCAAGGAGTATTTATCTTTTACTGTATTGATTAACAATTAATTTTAAAATAGTTTAGGACTAGAGAATGTCTTTATTGATGTTTTTTTAAATGATTATATATTTTAATATAAATATAAATGTTCTATTTACTAAAGAACATATAAATTAGTTGGCTAATTGCACAAATAGCAAGTGTTTTGACTTTTTTTATTTTTATTTTTCAAGAACCGTTATTAATAATGTTTCAAACTTTCAAGAATTGTTAAATTCTATCCAATAAAATATTGAACTACAACAGCCATTAGAAAAAGATACAAAATATTACAAAATATTACGCAAATCGGTTATTACCTTGTTATGTGACGGATCCTCAAAGTATACCACATATATAAACCACAAGCTGCACAACCATACATAAATTTTCATGATTGTCATATTTTGTTACTTAAACTTTAAATAATTTGAATATGTCTATTCAGATTGTTTCCATACATTTTTAGAATCGGATGCAAGAGACCTACAAAATAAGGATGAACACTCAAATGCACAAATTAGTAGAGATCTGAACTATTTACGTGTAGAATTTGCGATTAGATTCGTGTACACCTAAAGGTTTACTTCTAGTATTTAAGTGTCATACATTTAGTAGAAAACAGTAAGAATCTAACAATAGTGGTGAGCGGTCAGTTGAATGACTGTTTTCCTTGATTAAGTTATTTTCGGTGAGTTGAAGAACTGTTTTCCTTGATTAAGTTATTTTCAACCTTTAATTTGTCGATAGGTAGACCCTTAAGATTAAGCTATTAGTCTACATTTGTGTTTGGAAGTCTCTTAATTTCGTTAATCGCAAGACTTCTTGAGACACATGGCATGCCATTACTTGCACTCAAACACAAATTTTCAAAATTTACTTTGTTGGTAGTTATTTTTTTTTATAAAATTTAATAAAAAACTGAAAAATGGATAAATTGATATTGCCAACGAACCTAGTTCAACCATAATTGACATATACCTCAAATCATGAAGTTGTGAGTTCGATCCCCACTCCACGTGTTGTACTAAAAAAAGAAAAATATATAATACGTTAAATATGACCATGATTTAATAGCTTACTTAAAGAAATGATAGTTCTGATTTTGAATCACTGCCCTATATTTTAATATACGAACTAATTTTATATTAAAAATTATTTTAGATACAAAAATAAAATATTCTGGAGTAAAACAAACTTACAATGAAAAAAAAACTCGTATATTGCAACTCGATCTTAAAGCGGCGTCGTTTTATGGTTTAACGACCAAGGAATATCAAACTTGCCGATAAGAGCATTTGCCTCCATCTGGTGGGCTCTGCTCCGGCTCCGAGCAGTGTCGCCGTTCGCCGATTCACGGAGATTTGCAGCGAAGCCATGGAAGACACTTTCGATAAAGCCACAGCGGCAGCTGAAGAGCTATATCAAATCAGAGACACCTACTTTCCTGTAAATCCCGATGACAAAATTTCCAAACTGCGAGAGTTATCGGATCTTGCTATCAAGATCCTCGATTCCATTCCTCCAGGTGGATTCTGCTTTCTTTATCATACGCTGTTCATTTCAGCTTCTTCGAGTTTGCCTATTGCTTAATAGCTCGACTTGGGATTTAATCTTCTTGTTTGGTATTCGAGAAAACGTTGGGAAAAGAGTAACGGAAATGAAACTTGGGATTGCGCTTGCGTTGATGTTTGAGTCCTGAATATTTTGGACTTTTGGCAGATTCTTTGTGTAAAAATATTTTTTCATTAGCTATTGGAAGTTACTATACCATTGTTTGTTGTCTTTGGGGTTACTTAGTGAGGCTTAGGCTTGGTAAAAACTGTGAGTGCGACTTCTGGGAGTTGGAAGTTACTATACCATGGTTTATGGAATTGACGAACACATGGGTGTGTTGAGAATGCGGGGTTTTATGAGATCTGGCAATTGTGCTCGTCTTAATTGCTTTGCAATTATAAAACTACACAAAACCAGCATCTATAACCGCGACGGCCGACAAGTATAATTTGACACTAGCTCCTAAGAAAGTGCATTCCATGAAATCGAGTTGGTTTATTTTGATAGCCTGAATCGAAGCTATTTAGCTTTACTTCCCCATAACTGGAGGCGAGGCCTGGACTTGGGAGACATTAGATTTTTGGTATTAAACTCACTCGGAGGTTCCACGAACCTCTTAGTAGGTGTTACCAAGAGATCACATGCCCTTGTTAAGAGGGCTGTCCCTTTTGAAACAATAACATGTGACTTGTTTTCTTTCTTCTTTTTCCACCATGATGTAACCCCTTATGCTGCGGAGGGCACCGAACTTCCTTACTTTTTTGTTTGTTCCTGTAGGACCTGTACTTTAAATTGTGAGACTAGTTATTTTATTTCACGATCTTTTAGGAGGGTTTTATATACATTACCTTGGATAAAAATCTTGTTCTAGCTAGAAATTTACATTCCTTACTAGTTAATTTCTTCTGCAGAACAAAGGAAATCACCTTTGCAGCGTGCTATGTACGAATACCTAAGAGGAAAAATGTTGGATGTATTTCCAGAATATAGAAAAGAAGCAGAGGATCATCTCTCAAAAGCTGTAAGCATCCAAAATCATAAAGATTTTTGTAGTTTGTATGCTTTGTTTTAAGTAATAATTTGATTGTTCAACTCCAGGTTAAGTTGAATCCATCTCTTGCCGACGCCTGGCTGTGTTTAGGTAACTGCATTTGGAAAAAAGGAGATCTATCTTCAGCAAAGAACTGCTTTACTTTAGCCTTAAACAAGGTTCCAACTGACAGTGCATTTCCTTGGTTTCTTTTCATCTTGTAACCTCTCTTCACTGGAGTTAATTACATTCAGATGTGATACTTTTTCTATTGCAGCGCCCCGAGAAAAAATTACTTTGTCAGTTATCAATGCTTGAAAGGAAAATTGCTCAAGGTAAGTGTTTTGATTCTTCATCAACTTCTTTCATTAATTGTAACCGTTAACTGTAGAGTACCCTGTCAATTTCTCAAAAATTGACTACTTTGTCAGTTATCAATGCTTGTAAGGAAAGTTGCTCAAGGTAAGTGTTTTGATTCTTCATCAACTTCTTTCATTAATTGTAACCGTTAACTGTAGAGTACCCTGTACATTTCTCAAAAATTGTCCTGGGGATAATTTTTTCCTCGTAAAAGATATATTTTTGTATGGACGAGGAAGATTTCTCACAAGGAAGGAAAAAGTTCATAATGTGCATGCTTTCACACAGCTTGTCTGTTACTTTCAAGAGAGAATCGGTTGATCCAAAAATCCTTTGGACATTGAAGTTTAAACCACTATTCGCTGATATTAGCTCATCTTGGACATTTTTATATATTTATTATTATATTTTTTTTATGTATCTCATGTTATAAGAGTTAGCAAAACAAGCCATCTTTAGACCATACAATGTTATAGACCCAGTTTGGTTTGCCCTCTGAATAAATAGAAAATTTGGCTCACTGTCATGTCATTTTTGTTACAGTTTCTGATTGACCACTATAATGAACATATATGTCCCTCATCTATTCATCCTAAATTTTATTCCGTCTAGATACTGAGAATGAGGCAAAACTTGTAGAGGAGAGTATTCAACATGCAAGAGAAGCAGTTACTTTGGATGTTAAAGATGGAAACTCTTGGTGTAAGATCGCACATTAAAGAATGCCAAAGCATTTTGTTTATTTTTAATTACTATTTGTATATGTTTCCCTCGTTATGCCATATCTCTGTTACCCTTCTCTGTGGTTAACTTATTTGTACACCTTCTATAATAATTTGGGTAATTTTCTTACACCGTGCTCTGAACTGAAATGTTTCTGAATGGTGCATCTTCATTTCTTGATGTTTGTACTGAGTACCATCTTCCTTTATCTTCCTTTATCTTCCAGCTTGCTCTTGGAATCTTCCATACCATGTTCGCACTAATTTGTCTTGCAGATAATCTAGGAAATGCATGCCTTACAAGTTTTTTTGTCACTGGAGCTTGGGATCACAATAAACTTCTGCAATCTCTGAAGGCATATCAAAATGCTGTAAGTGTCTATCGTAACAGTTGTGCCCACGTTTCATTGTGAATTTCAACAACTTCATTTATGAAATGGGTATAATTCGACTCTTTGTTGAGCTTCAGGTTTATTTTACAGTTCTAAAATTTGCTAATTTTTAATAATATTTTACAGGAAAAAGATGAAAAAATGATGTCAAATCCAGACTTATATTTCAATTGTGCAACTGTAAGTTGAATTTTCCTTCCTTTCAATTTGAATTGATCTCTCATGTGATTGCTTGCTTTCTATAAATTTATGAAGTAGTTAAGTTTAAAAGCTTCTTAAAATGTATAATATTCTAATTATTCTGGTCATTGACATGAAATCAATGGATGGAATTTGTTCAGCTAGACAAAGAGTAATGTAATGGACAAAAAATGATCATGAAACAACCTCTTTTTTTTTTGGCTAGATGCTACCTTTTGTAAATCTCACTTCTACATATCGTTGACGAAACAAATTCAGTGAGTAACTTCTGTGAATCCTCCATAATTTTAACACGTTTTTCTTTTAGGTTAACAAATATCTGGAGAACTATGAGAGGGCCCTAAGTGGATTTGAGGCTGCTGCTTTGAAGGATCCTAGTCTTAGTGCTACCAAGGAGGTCCAGAAGATGGTGAATCTTCTTGACAAATTGGAGAACATGTTGAGGGTACACTCACATCTTTGCCAATGAGTACAAGACAAATATTGCACGTCTCTTGACTTAGTGTTGATTTTTTTACTAGCTTTTATTGTTTTGAAACACATACGTACTTGCACATTGCTGTTTATTGTATTTCTGTACCTTGATTTGTGGCCTGGTTCTAAATCTATTGTGATTGGCGGACGTAGAAATAGGAAGTGGCTTTCCATGAA